ACAAGGAGACGAAGACCAACCCCAAGTTGCTGCATTTGTTTCCGGAAATACACACCTGTGCTAGGGGTCCTCACAGCACCATTTGAGTAGGAAAGCAAGACCACAGAGGGGTGGCTCTTGACAGTGGCTGCATCTGAGAGTCACCTGGGGAAACTAGAACAAAAATGTAGGTCCAATCCTGGAACGGTATAGCCAGAGCCCGTATTGGGGGGAACCTAAGAATCACTAATTGAAAGGCTCCTGGTGAGTCTGTTTAGAAGTTACAGTGTGTGGAGCACTACTAAGAATAAACCCAAATTGTAACTCCTCTTGTGTTCAAGGAAAGCCCTTAACCTTGCCCCATGTATGGACAGCCTAGTCTTCAAGTAGCCCCTGGCACCATACGCCAGCTCCTTCTTGCAGGCCAGGGCCAACATCTTATAGGAATTATCAGGTACAAGACTTAACACATTCTGTCTTGCCTAAATTGGTCAGATTGGATTTGTATCACCGGCACTCATTTCCACAGACTGGAAGTATGTGCCAGTTTACAAGGTTCGTGAGGCTTCTGTCCAGTCCTCCCTCTCCACCTACACACCCACAGCTAAAGAGATGATAAAACAAACAAAAGAAGAGGTGATAATGGGGACTCATGTCTGACCCGGCACTTTCTAACTGGAGAGCATGGCCCCAAACACTAGGTTCAAGATCTCTCCAGAAGAAACATTCTGCTTACTGAATTGTTATGAAATACCACCTTGAGATGGCAATTTTCGGTAAAAGGCTGTAGCATCTCGTTAAATAAAGCTAATGGATCCTCTGTGAGGCACCCTGGTCACGTGGGACATGTGTTTTGCTTCTCATGACCTAGCTGTGTGGCACTGTTGAAGGACTCCGTCACCTTTACAGAAAAGAGGTCTCGAGTTATGGTTTTTGTGCTTGGATCCGAAACTTGATTTTCTAGCATTTCTAGAGAGCATTTGGGGACCAGAATCCATGTTGTTTACTCGTTCCACGGGGAATACTGAGGCTGGGGCTTGGGACATGGGAGAGGAACCGAATGCTGGCTGAACTGTGGCCATTGGGCCATACACAGGTCTTAGTGTATCTAGCTTAGCCAAAAAGGGAGTAAAACAATCATGGGTCCTAACGATTCTCACCATCCCATCCTGGGGACCAGCACATGGATTCTTCACTCAACAGCCCTAAATAGCACGGCAGCTGCAGTGAGGGGGTGTGGCACGTTCCCCAGGCAGGGTTCCCAGCAAAGGCTGTACCGCCCCCCATCCCCACCCCACCAGGCGCGGCAGCCATCTGGGGGTGCAGACTTGGGAAATATTCCCCCGGGCAGTAGAGTTGCCACCACTTCTCGTGAACCACAGGCATGAAAGGCAGGTGCTGCAGGCAGCTCACAGGCGGCCCTGCGGGTCTGGTGCAAAACGCTCACTTAAGGGGCCACAGCCCTCTGACCTGCAGATTCCCCCGGTCTCACCTTCCCCCCCCCATGAAGTCAAATCTGCCTAATCTTTTGAATATCTTTCCAGAACAGGTTCACCCTGTCTTCAAGGGTTCACGGAGACTGCGCACCAGAAGTAGACCTCCCGCGTCTTTTATAAGTACGGGGAGTCCTTAGTGCTCTTCTTTTTTTTTTTTTTTTTTTAATTTTATTTATTTATTTGACAGAGAGAGATCACAAGTAGGCAGAGAAGCAGGCAGAGAGAGAGAGAGGGAAGCAGGCTCCCTGCTGAGCAGAGAGCCCGATGCGGGACTCGATCCCAGGACCCCGAGATCATGACCCGAGCCGAAGGCAGCGGCTTAACCCACTGAGCCACCCAGGCGCCCCTTAGTGCTCTTCTTTACCAGCCGTAGGGCAAGTGTATTCAGGTCAGCAAAATTTCTCAAAGGATCAAGGGCCACCGAGGTGCCAAGGCTGGGGCCGTTGGGAACCAGCCTCGGTTTCCCCTTCCATGAGCAGCATCCCTCGGCCCAGGCTGGAACGTCTCCTTTCTGGGATCTTTTCTCTCGTTTATGTTTCTTGGCTCACAGAATTCCATCCTTGTCCTACCGGGCTGGCTTCTCAAATGCTTAGGAAGCGGCCAACCCTACACGGACCCCACTTATCACGGAAGTATGGAGGCAATGACAGATGAAAAACAGAGACGTGACAACTTGACTAGAGGGAAATATTTATTCAGGCAGGAGCACCAACAGACCCGTCACAGAAGGAGAATTCAACAGCAACCACTGATCGCATGGGTGGCACCTACCACCTTCCAGCACCATGCAACCCGGACACCAGATACAGCACAGCCATTTCTCAAAATACATTCGGTTCTCTCTTACCTCTGCAGTAAGGGATCATAAATGCAGTTAAAGAAGTTAGGGGAAACGGCGCGCGGTGGTCCTTGCGCACTCTCTGCCCGTGGGTCCTCCAGGAAACCGCAGGCGGTGGCTCCCCAGAGCCGGCACGAGGCTTCGGGGCCGCTGCTTTTCCCCCTACATCATAACCGATTTCAAATGGTGCTAGACAAAAACAGACTCTGAACACCAGGAGAAATCGGTCAGCCTGTGTAAGAGATGGGTCCGTTGGTGCTCCCAGGGGTCCCGCACATGACCTTGCAGGTGGCGAGTCCGATTCCAGCCGCACTGCCACAGCAGCGGAATGTTCCCGGGCGTCTGGAGCAGGCGCAGTGCTGACGCGGATGGGACCGTCCTCCGGGTACACAGCCTCGCCCCTCCCCTGGTACAATCGAGCTCCGCATGGAGCATGGCCCCACCTCTGTGTTCCAAGGCCCGATGGGCAGGTGAGCCCCGGGGGCTGCTAGGAGCCGGCACCGCGTCTGCCCCTGCTCAGATGCGGAATTTTTTTTTAAACATCACACCCGCCCCGCGCCGTCACCCCTGCACAGCCCACATACGCGAGGGTGCCTCCTCTTCTGCAAGGTCTTCCTTTCTTGAGCCGGCTCAGGTGGCAGGCGGAGGGCGCCCTTCCCACCCGCGGAGGCTCCTCTGCTGGTGGCCCTTCGCTGCGCTGCAATTCTTACTCCTAAAACACTGATTTCAAATGGTGCTAGATACAAAGATGGAAAAATCTAAGCCACCATGTGAAACCAGCTTCCAGAAGAAGAGGATCTCATTGAAGAAAGGAGGAAGATGACATCGGAAGCCGCAGGCTCTGCCCCGAGGAGGGAGGGAGGTCTTCTTGTGGTTCCACTTGGGACGTGACGTCACCAACCGTGAGAAAGGCCCAGCGAAGAGCTCCCCAGGGGTGCTGCAGGACGGCTGACGGCGCGGCGAGGCTTCACACACCCCGTGGCCATACACAACTCACGAAGTCTAGTTAATGCAGTTTAATTCCACAACGGGTCGTAACAGAGTATTAGCTATAGGATAAAATCAAGTCTCCCAGAGCTATTATTAAAATGCACTGATAGCCTCATTAGCACCATCCTGCTGTATTAAATATTTCACAGTGCGCAAAGGGCTTTCCGATCCTATCTCACCTCATCAGGAAACAAGCCCCCTGTCTGCCACCAGGCTCTATCCAGTACGCAGAGCGGGGTTTCACCCCGCCCTGGGCAGCCCTTCCATACGCCTTCCTCAGAAAGAGCTCAGGCTCCTCCTTCCCGGCCTTACGTAAGGCTCAGAACATTGGCACTCTTACTTATTCTCAGCCCTGACACAAAAAAATGTGATGTTCTAAAGCTGTGTTAAGTAGATAATCCTCTAACAGGAGAACGGAGTTGTGTGTGTGTATGTTTTCAGAATTTGTCTGAAAAATAAGATTTGCATCGTCTTCAAATTAGATTTCTCATCTCCTAAATGGGTTGTTTCTGGTTGTTTGAAGCTGAGAAAGCATGTATTTTCCTGGGACAGCACAACCAAGGAAAGAGAGAGTGGAATCTGTACCTTTCGGGCTACCAGCTCCGTGGTAGAGACAGGCCCATATTTATTGTAGCTCCTGGAAATGACAGCATGCACTGCTCCAGGAAAGAGGAAGAAATAAAATTTGAACACTGAGGTGTGTGGTTTAACCGTGTCAGTCCCGGGAAGCATGTACTGTTCCCACGCCTGCTGGAGAAAATGCTCCTTATGCTTTAGTAACTCGCCCACGGCCATGTGACCAACACATGGTGCAGATCCCAGATCTAACCCCACAGTCCTGTGCTACTGCTCCTGGGCCTACTGTGCCTGCTCCAGGCTGGTCCACAGTCTCATTCTGTTCTTGAACTCAACTGTGAGCAAGGTTGAGGCGGGGCGTGGGCGGGGAGGTGGGTAGTCCTAGGCAATGTTTGTACATGGCCGTGGATGTGACTGACAACATGTTTAACTTGGGGTGAGACAGGCCCCCTGGTTCTGCAGGGGTCCCGGGGCTGGGAGCTAGCCTCCTGTGTCCTCCCGCACTCATAGCATGGCTGTGGTAGGGGAAGGTGCTGGAGAGGAACTGCCCACGATGCCTGTGCTGGACTCCAGATTCTGACCCTAGCACTGGGCTCGGAGCCCAGGGCCTTTGCACGGCCTCAGCCACTGATAGGAAGCAGGGCAGCAGCTCTGATCAAGGACACCTGCAGTCAACAGCTGGGCCCCAGGAAGCAGGTAACTTGCAGGGTTGTAAGGTCAGGAAGTTACTGATAAAGGATAGTCATTTTCATGGGATCCTATAACATGAGGTGGTTGGAGCTCTACATTTGGTCTTTCTCAGCTTTTCTGCCTCTGACCCCAGGTGGACTCTTCCTTCTTAGCCACTTCCAACTGCCAGTATCCACAGAACTTTTCCCAGCGTGTTGTCACACAGGTAAACAGTCATCCAGACGGCCCCTGTCCTCCCCCAGCAGGCCTCTGCATACATTGCTCCCTCTTTCTGGAACATTCTCTGTCTACCCTCCCAGAGCAACCACGCATCAACCCTCCCCCAGGTAACGCAGGTCACCTGAAGCTTTCCGGGTGAGCCAAGCATTCTGTCACACCCTCTCACAGCACCTAGTTCTTGTCCTTCAGGACATACAGATGTCACGTGGTCATCAGGGTGATTAATGACTGTCTCTCCTGCTACCCAGGGAGCATCAGGCCAGAGTTCGGGGCGGGAGGGCATTGCAGAGGACCAACTGTCACTGAGGGAACTAAGGACCACGACCCAGAGTTTGGGCTCACAGTGCCCGAGTTCTACGATACTCAGTTCTCTGGAGAAAGACAGCCATCATTCAGAACACATCATCATAAACACTCTAACACAAGAAGAGGGAAAGAAAGTAATCTTAGTACCAAAACCCTCTGCTCCTCCACCCAATGGATACAAGAGTCTATGCAGGTCTCAGCCCTCCCAAAAGAACCAGGCTTCTCTCACAAAGTCTGCCAAGCAATGACTCACTTACCTGAAGCCAGCTGGTGTTTTCGTTCCCGAGCTGGGTATAGCGGGGTGGTTGGATGGGGGCTGGAAGGGGCTTGGGCTCCCTGGCACCCAGCTCGATGGCCACCTCGATCTGTAGGAAGGCAGCCCGTCGAAGCCCCAGCCTGCAGGGACTCGGCCTGGCCTAATGGTCCCATGCAAACTGGCCAGTGGGAAGGGTTTGGTGCGCTGTCCAGGAAGGAAAACTGCCCAGCGTGGGGGGTGGGTATGTCAACTCGGGGAGGTGCCACCGTGCGCGGGAAGAGGGTTTGGGCAGCCTGCTGAGGCCCCCATCCATTTCTGGGCAGACATTCTATTTGGAGGTTTTTCCATGCCCTCCTGCCTAGGACACTCCTCTGCCTGGGCAGGGACTGAGGGTGGAGGAAAGGTCACCACACAGTGAATCAGAACACAGTGGCTTTAATTCCTGCTCAGCCCAGACTCTTGAGAGCAGGGGCCTGCACTTCCCCGGAATGGACCACAGTTCTGAAAAGCAGGAGGGCTCACAAGGCCTGGTGTCAGTGCATTCAAATGCTCCAGGGCTGGGACAGGAACTAGGACAGAAGCAGCAGCAGCGTGCGCGGCAGGAGTAGGGACCCGGAGAGGCTGTGTTTTGTCTAAAGGCATGCAAATCAGATACATTAAAAAAAAAAATTAACAAAAACTCTGTGTAGGCCAAACAAAAACATCCAAGGGTTAAATAGACAGAACTCGTGGGCCATGGGTTCAAGTGCAGTCTGGAGATTTCAAAGAGAGCTTCTACTGCCTTCTAGAAATAATGCTGTGTCTTTTAAAGTCCTAAAAACCCCATGCCAGGTCTGGCACCCACAAAGTAACATGGGAGGAAAATGGAGAGCAGAGGAGGAATCCTGGTTTATGAGATCCATAAGCAAACCCACCGAGCCAAGAGACACACGCCCCCAGGAAGCTGATGCCGCCGGCTGGTTCTGTGTGACCAGGACATGTTCAAATCCAGAGCGCTGGGAAGGTTCCTGCGAGGCAGCAGCTTCTCCCTCCCGCCCGGGCTGGGTGCTGAGTCACGGCTACTTACATGACTGACGCCAGCTCCAGCCAGCGAGGGGGAGGGGCGGCGGAAGCCCGGCCCAGCTCGGCAGTGTTCCTGCCACCCAGAATGCTGGTTCCGAGGCTCCTGGGAGTGAGGGAGAGTCATCTTGGTGAGAGAGGGGCCTGGGGCCGGGGGAGACCCTTTTGAAGATAGGGTCCGTTCTGCCCCCCAGACTGGTCCTAGCCCATTGTATGTGCCAAGGACCCAGCTTCCTGTCCCTAGGCCCCAGGCCAGACCCAGTGTCCTGGACATTTTGTCTTGAGCTGTCAGGGTGGGGCCTGGTGCCAACTAGCTGTGGTTAATGAATCAGAGGAAAGGGTGATAAAATGAAGGGTACGTGTGTGGAGGGCCGGGGAGGAGGAGAACAAGGAGCTCTTTCCCTGGCTGCTCAGCCCCCCAAAAGATCGGCTCAGCATCTGGGGATCAGTGCACTTTCCAGAGCCTGGATCCTGAAGTGGGAACGGCACGCTCGAGACCCACGGAGCCCCTCCAATGTCTGTGGAGGTAACAGGGCAAGAGGTCGCAGCCTTCTCTGCTCACGTGGACCCAGCCTCACCAACTCTGGTTTTCCCTGGGGAAGGCGTTCAGAGGCCCAAGTGCCCAGGCGGCTGCTTTCCACAAAATTCGGTTCTCTGTCCCTTCCTTGACACCATCGATGAAGACCTGCACCTGGAAATCTCCCAGATTCAGTACAGGCCCAAGGTTGGAATCGCCGGCTGGCTGTGAGGATGGGATGCCTTGGGAAGCTGTGGGGTGTGGGGGGCAGCAGGTCCCCATGTTTCCCCAGAGAGTGGCTCTGCTCAGACAGAGGACGATGGGCCCAGCCCTGAACTGTTTCCCACAAGAGGAAAAGCGAGCATGCCTACAGCCCGTTACACAGACACAACACCCACCCCACAGTTCACAAGTCCAAACAACCCCCAGCTGAAGGCAGACCACTGCTCCTTCCCCCTCATCACTCCCAAGCAGTGCTCCAAGCAGGCAAGATGGATGTGGCAGGGAAATTTCAGTCTCAGGTGAAATCTAACTGGGAAGGCTGGAGGGAGATGGGCTAGAGCCCAGCTTTCCCCTCCCCCAAGTGGAGCTGGGTCACCCACTCCTTCAACACCAAGAGTAACTAGCAGACGTGGCACCCCACCAGATACCCCCACTCACAGGACCCTGTGCCTGCCTGCTGCTGGCAGCATGTCTCTGGGGCTCCAGGGCTCCCTAGCTTAGCCCCTGCTCCTCCTGGGGGGAGAGCAGGCCCCCTGCCACAGGCCCCAGGCCCCACAGCCTCCCTGGAGCATGGGCCCCCACAGGCATCAGGCCTCTGGGGACAGACTGACGAGCCGAGTGGTGGCTCTACCCGATACTGGGGCACACAGCTGGTGCAGCACAGGGACCAGGCCACAACCCGTAACATGGTTCCACTTTCCTAGCTAGGGGCAGAAAGCCTGGGCACACAGAGGGTATGTCCAGAGTCCAAAGCCAACCCGGGGCACCTTTCCTGCTTGTCTCCCCTGCCGCAGCTGGCGGGGGTCTGTACCTGCACGGCAGGCCGGCCCTGTTCTGTTATCGGGGCCTGGCCCGCCAGTCTCAGGACCTGGAACAGACAGTGGCAGGAGGAGGCAGGCAGAGGGAGGGCAAAGGGGGAGGGAGGACCGGGAGAGGGGGGAGGAGGAAGTTTCACAGTCTAGAACACTCCCATCAGATCAGAGAGAGGGGAACACATACAACTTCCCCTTTTTGGGAGCTTCTCTGCCCCTGCTTTTGTTTCGGTGCCTTCCCCTCTGGACTGGGGATGGCTTGGCTGGTGGGCTGGGCAGGGGCAGGCGCCCAGGTACCCGGCCAATTGGGCCCTCGCCCGGCTCCGTCCTGGGCCTGGCAGGCTCCCGCTGCCGTTACCCGGCATGCCCTTCTCCTTGTCAGGGAGGCCTCACCCTCTTGTTTTTAAAGTTTTATAACAGTATTGTTTGTTGTCCAGCAGATTAAATTCTTTTGGAGGCTGGAGGGCGGAGGGGGGGAGTTGAGGGAGAAAGAGGAGGGAGAAGAGTGAGGGAGAGAAAATACAAACAACTTTCATTAAGGCCAAAAGATTAAATGAGTTCCTCTCTGGACACAGAGTTCACCTGTCTTGGAGAGAGGCCAGTGGCCAGGAGCATGGGTTCCCTTCCCCTCTGTCCCTGTCCCTCTAGGTCATCCTCACCCAGCAGGGTGACACGTGGTCTCAGACCTTCAAGGTCACTACTCAGGGTTCAGAAAAGAAGAAAGAGCTAACAGTGTTGGGGGTGGGGGATTCATGCCTGAGCCGCCACCCCCCCCAAATAGGAAGCATGATGGGGGGCCGAGCTGGGCCCAGCTGAGGGGCCTTGATCTCATCTCCCCGGGGCTCCCGATGGCCTGCTCAAGAATGAGGTGGAAAGGAGGTTTCTGGGGACGGCTGCCCCATCTCAGAGACGACTCCCCTCTGCAGTGAGCCTGCGGTCTGTTCACATGTGGAAGGAAAGTAATACATTCAATGTTGTCAGAGCCTGGAAGAACGGTACCCCCAGGAGACAGGAACACAAGTGTGCAGACAAATACTCAGGTGTTTCTAAGGACTATGTGAGAGCAGGAAACAGGAAGGAGAGGGGAAAGAAAATCAACATAAAATAAGCATGATTTTACAGACAGGAGGGTCCAGGGAAATGTCCCCAACCCGTCAGGCCTTCAGATGCTAAATCTGCAGACAGGAATAACACAAAAGGATATACGATTATCCCCATGAAAATAACCCTCGTTCAGCCATTAACTGGTTTATTTCAGACTCCGGGGTTCCCAATAAATAGTAGCCCATGGGGGCACATGTGTGTGCCTCTGGCGTGGCAGGCAGCATCATGGGTCCCAGAGCCGTGGACCTGCCCTGAGACAGTCCTCCTTCCACCTCCGACCCTCTTCCCAGCAAACCCTGTCTGGCCCTGCCTCCTGGCCCAGCCCCCACTCCTTCACCTCTCCAGGGCCTTCTCTGGAAGCTCCCTAGGGCTGGGGGAAGCAGCATGGGGCGGGGGGCAGCAGCAGTTCAAATACAGGTTTAGAGCAGCTCAGGGCTCTTCCCAGACAGCAATGGGGGACAACCTGGCTATCTCCTCTTTTTTTATTTACAAATAGTATTAGTCCTAGAGGGTCAGTTCCAGAAGTTCTGTCTGCATGAGGAAACAAGGGTACAACTGCTGGCCCAATGCTCCTGTGCCCCGACCCAGGTCAGGCTGGCCTCCGAGGCAGAAAGAAAAAACGGAGCCTGCTCTAGGTCCTGGCACCCAAAGCTCATGCTGTTCTAGGGACAGTCTCAGAGCCCCACAGACTTGGGACGGGAGGGACCTTGTCAGGGACATCCAGTCTCTCTTCTCAGATAAAGAGGCTCTGTGTTTCTTTGGAAGCCCTCAGCAAAGGGCCACCACAGTTCTCCCTGAAGTCTGGTCTAGATCACCTCCCGGCTTTGGGTTCTGCCATCCTCCTTCCCACCCTCTGGGAGAACAGAAAGTTCTGGATGTCGTATGACAAATCTTCACACAATAGTTATCAGAAGCTTTGTCCAGCAAAACCACTGCCCTGTGGATTTCCCATGATACGGCTTCTCTGTGAGCCAAGGCTGCATCCGAGGAATACAAACAGACAGACGTATGCACACTGCCCCCTGTCCAGCCCTAATCCTTTGGATTCATGCCCAGGCAGAGCCTAAACCATCCTGTGTTAGTGCGCTCTAAATAAAGACAAACACTTCTCTGCCCCTTCATATAGGCTCTGGGTCTCTCTGAGCAAAAGCCACTCAGAGGGCCACATGGACAAGAGGACGACCAGTCTGAGCTGTGCCTTGTCCCCCCCTCACAGAGAGCGGGCTTACACGCAGGATCCGGGAACACGGACGTCTAGGCGTTCTCTGACTTTCCTTCCTCTCCATGGGTAAGGCCTACTTTTTCAACTCTGTCAGGAAGCAACAGCCAGAGCTGAAGCTAGTGGTTCCAGTATCTCACACTGTCCCTTAGCCAATACTTCCAGCGGGGGCTGATTAGCCAGCAGAGAGAACAGCCACACAACGCTCAGGCTAGGCAAAGCTCTGGGCCTCCCTTATCGGTCTGCTGGGAAAAATCTCCCAGATCCCATAAGAAAGCCTTATTTCTAAGTGAGCTAGACTTAGCAGAAGTCTAGCTCAGGACTAGAGAAAGGACTATATGCACGTGCACTAATGCCCTACAAATGTGTCGGAACGGTTTGAGAAGCACCGCATAATTCCAGAAGCTTCCAAACGTAGGCAGTCTCACCAGAAACACATGGGGAATGGCTGGATTCCTGGCCAAGGAGTGCACGCCAGGTTTCCCAAGAGCTCCAAGAAGCCGAAAGAATCTGAGAACAGAAGAAGCTGGACATTCTGAGGCTCCCTTCCCCATTTGGTGCATAGGAAAGCGATCTTCGACCTACAGAGATCAAGTCAGCTGCCCAAGGCCATTCCCTGTCCCTGGACCGCCGGTCAGTGGAACAACAACTAAAACCCAAGGAAATGACATCTGGAGTCGGGGGACCTGGGTGGGGGACCCCAACTCAGCAGGTATAAGTGGATCTTAGCAAGGCTGTGGCTCAGTTGCAGCGACTGTGGGGATCCCACCACCCACCCTCACAGGCAGCGTGAGGACCAAATGAACTAGCAAATCGGAAAAGAGCTGCAGACCATCGCATGGTATGCACAAGACGTCAGGTCACCAATCGCTTCAGCTCCTGCCTGAATCCTGGCCCAAAGTCCTGTTTGCCGCACCACTCGGGGCGAGACGGGGTGGACTCACATCTCCGAGGCCCGTGTAAGAGTCCAGCAAAGCGGCACGTGGACAGTGTCTTGAAGCAATGGTGCTGATTTTAAAACTCTGCATTCTGTTTGGTGGCTTGTGTGGCAGGAATCCGCAGCCCCAGCCCCAACCCCACCCACACAGTCTCAGAGCAGGGCTGGCCACTGGGGACGGAGGCCACCGTGCTGGCTTGTGAGGGCCTGGGACCCTGAGCTCGCCTGCACGTGCTTTGTTTTTGCTACCTTTTGAAGAGTGACTCCGTACTAAAAAGTCAAAATGGAATGGGTGGCTTGGAGATATTTTTGTTTTTGTTTTTTTCTTTTCACCTTTTTTCTTTTTCTTTTCCTTGTCCTTTTTTCTTTTCTTTTTCTTTTTTTTTTTTTAAATAGAAGAGTTTCAACAACCACATGAGAAAAGATGGCTACATATAAAGGAAAACTTCCTGACAGCAAGAGGCACAGACCCTGAAGAGGGAAAGCCTGGGACACCTGACCCGCAGTCCCATGTTCTCTCTAGGATTTAAGGCCAGAAAGCCCAGAATTTCTTTCATAGAGCACGGTGGCATCTCCAGTTAGACCCTGTGACACAGAGAGCCCCCAGCAGCTCCCACATCACCTGTCTGCAGACAAGCCCCTAGGTGGGAGCCAGATGTCACCTGGATGACCTTGCTCCATCAGTCACCCTCATGTAATCTGTGGCCCCTTTCTGCTTGCAGCCGGAGGTCCTGGGCAAACTGTCTCCACCCACCTGGCCTCACGGATGGGGACAGCATCTCTTCAGAAGACAGGACTGTAGCTGTTCTCAGTCTTCTGCCTGAGAAATACCTCCAGAAACATCTAGGGAACCCCTGCATCAGAGTTGGCAAGCTGTCTTCTAAAAGGTTCTGGTTCAAATCCCTCAATTTATAAATAATGAAACTGAGTCCCAAAGACGTAAAGTGAGTAAGATTTTACCAAGGGAGCCAGGGCCAGAATGCGGGCCTGCTGAGTCTTCTACACCACACCACATTAGGCCCACTTTCCCTGAGTCCCCATAACCACACCCCAAGACCCACACCTCATCCTTGTGGATATCAGCTCCCCCACCCCTCAGCAGCAAGTGGCATCCTCTGAGGTCCAGGAGGGCCAGGCTTGGATCATGGGCCCAAGAGGGAAAAATCACATGGCCAGACACACCACGAGCCCCAGGTCTACCCTGTAAACTAGCCCTGAGTCCAGCAGCTGCACACGCCAGAAAAACCCTCCCACATACTGGAAACACCTTCAGCCACCAACCTGCCTCAACCTCTCAAGACACCCAACTCATCCAAGCCTCCGGCACACGGGGACTTCTCCCTCTCCTGCCCCTGCCCTTTCTCTATCATGAGGATGTGGGAACCCCAGGCTCAGGCCGGAGAGGCTGGGCTGACTTCCGCCTCTCACAGGCACCTACTTCACCAGCGACTCGCTGAAGACTTAACCCGAGTGTTCCCCTATCTGTGTGGATGAGAGAGGGGCACAGGGACAAGGTTGCAGCAGAGCCACCAGTTGGCACCTGGGGAGGGTGGCTGACAGAAAAACCTTCGTCTGCTGGTGACCAGAGGCTCGAGATCTACCGCCGTCTTGATCCCTGACTGCAAGTTCTTGTAAGCTGTGGGGACCTTGGGTAATTTTCTAGCTGTTAGGACAAGAGAGGGGTTAGCCCCTCTATCACTGTGAACTCTGGGGGCTCCATCAGTATGGCTTCCCCAGCCTCTTAAATTCCCTCCTTGGCCACCATCTGGATCCCTGGGCCCTTTGGATGCGTGTGGGTGTCCCCCTTTCCAGCTATGCCTGCTCCGCAGATTTCCCAACTCCCTCTGTCATCATCATGAATGACCTCTCCCCACACCAGAAAGCACACCTCATGAGAGCAGGGGCTGAATGGGGGTCTGGAGAAGGGCTGCATCTGCCACGCTTGGCCCTGTCTGTTCGCGGGCGCCGACAGCCAGCTGCCTCTGCTCGGCCTTCCCCAAAAGGGAGGAAGCACAGCCGTCACCGCCCACTGCCATCTTCCCCAAGATACCCAGCCTTTCACTCTGTTCACCATCCGTTCTGCTGGCTGCCTAATCTTGGACGGTCTTATTAGCTCCCCCAAACGTCTGAAGTCAACCCAAGAGGGTAAAGAGAAAATACAGGCTTTGGAATCAGAGGTGCCTGGGTTTAAAATCTTGGTGTTCCCACTGGCCAAGTGTGTGACCTTGGTGAAGTCACTTAATATGGACTGTTTCTTTAACGGGAGATGGGAAGTCACCCCTTCATGGGGTTGCTCTAAGAATGAAATCAGATAAGCAAAAGGAGACCCTTAACGAAGGTGAGTTTCCCTTCCCTGGGACTGCACTGGGAGGCCTGTCTCACACCCCCACGCCTCATTACAGACCCTGACCTCGGCTCCATGCACACATAGGTCCCTTCCAGGCTGCAGAGGGCCACGCTGGTTGAACACGAGACATATACCCTTCACCCTCACCCCCGGATCCTGGCCTCGGTCCTGTGGTCAGATAGTGCACAACCGTTCCCCACATGCCTCTCTCCATCCCCAGGCCCCTGTTCACCTGCCCAGGCTCCACACTACTGTATCAGGCTCTGCGCAGATCTTGGGGCCCGGAGGTGTTCTCCGGCTTTATCAGCTCATGAGCAGCTCCCGCGAAAGAAGCCAGCAAGGAACCAACCCCAGTCTCTGCTTTCTTCACAGACACTCCAAGGCCCAGAAAAGCAAAGCAAAATGAGGGCCTCCCACGGACAGCCGGCTAGTGGAAAAGGCAGTATCTCTTACATATCTCACAGGGAGGCAACGTGCCCAAAACAGTGACCAGCGCGAGATACACATCCTCTCTAAAGCCGGGGCTGCAGCCTCGGAGGCCCTCATGCCAGGGGACAGAGCCAAGATATGCATTAAACAGTTCACAGCCCTGACCAGACCAGGATTCAGTGGGACAGAGCAGGTGCTGACCAATCGGGCTCCCTGGCAGGGTCCCTCCCCAACACCTCCTGGCCAAGCCACACCACCACGGCTCCAGCGCCACCCGCTCCCTTCACTTCTGCTGGACCCCAGACGGAAAGGCCCCACACCACCTCCTGGCTCCCGGACCGCAGGGACTTCAAGGGTTGAGAACCAAGAGCCAGAGAGGCCTGGTCCCCCTCTCAGGAGGTGCCAACTGTTCCGGCTTGGCTTGTGACATAATGCCCGTGTCATGTCAGTGGAAACCAGACTGGTAAGCAGGGAGGAGAGGACTAAATGAGGATCGAAAACAGGAAAATCAACAGGGAGATGTTCCCCCCATCCCCCCCGCCCTCCAATTCTGGAAACACCAGAGGCCCCAGAGACAAGTGCGTCACAGGGAGCCAAACCGACTTTCCCTTTGCTTCCCATTCTGGTTATCTCAATCCTGCCAAGGGCAGGGCAGGGCTGTGCATGGGAGCGGCGGTGACCCCAAGGCAGGCCCGGGTCTGCACCGCACATACGGGAGCAGGGGTGCCCGAGCACGGCCCATGGCCCCAGCTGGCCCTGGCCCGGCAGCCAGCACTGGCCGGACTCTAGCCGGCACATCTCGAGGGAGTTGGCCGTCTCCTCCTCATCTCCCCAGGTGCACCCAAGCTCATCTCTCCTCTTTATTTGTGTTCCAGGCCCAACACCCCAACATCCCTCCCTACGTTACTGCTGGAGAGGCTAAGACTTGTCAGATTCCTTTAGGAGAGAGAACCCAGACTCTTCCCAACAGCCCTCGATGCCTCACTTGGTGAGGACCTCGGGCTGCTCACCGCCAGCTCAGACTCATCTCCAATGGAGAGAAGAGAAGAAGACACACGGACAGGCGGAATTGACCAGTCCTTTCCGGACAGTGGTGGGAGGCGGGTGGGGAGACATCCATGAGACAAGAGCAGAGGTGGGATCCCAGGGGTGCCTCCGAAAATTAGCCAAGCATATCTTAAAACTGCCCAGCACCATTCCTTTTATCTTGAGACCCCAGACAAATGTGCTGTCAGCTAATTCCAACCTGACCCTGCTCACCCAGAACACTGCAGGCATGCCTTCCATAGGAGAGACTTCCTGGTCGGGAGAAGGGTGAGCGCCTACAGTCCGCTTCCTGAGCTGTCTCTAGAACATGACAGACTACCCCCACTCCCGTCCCTGTTCTGCTGACCATTTTCATTTTTAATACCATCGCTATTACTGTGACCAGCATCAAGTGAGGCAGAGAAAAAAGATTTCTATGTCAACTGCTTAGAGATGTTGTGCAATGCTTACTGGGCCCAGAATTTTTTTTTTTTTTTTTTTTTTTTTAAGGTGAAGGCCATGAGGGCCCAGAGGAAGAAAGTGATTCAATCACTCAAACAAACAAACAAAAAACCCCAAAACAACCCCTCCGCCAAGCAGGCCCTGAAGCCCACCACCAAGCCCACACTCTAAATTCCAGCAAGTCTAAAGGGATCTAGAGTAAGAGCGAGCACCCACTGGGGTACACAAGGAAGGGAAGGCCTGCAGGCTCCCCGGCAGCTAAGGGGCTCTAACCCAGAACCTCACTCTGGATGCTGGGGGCCTAGGAGAGTTCTAGACCAGTCACCGAGGCCGCACTGCTCTGCTGACTGACTGCCACACCCAGCAGCGAATCCATCTCCCACACGATCGCTTGGGCTGGCCCTTCCCCCAGGCCCTTGCTGGTTACTAACCCCATTCACAGAAAAGCCAGGAGTGGGAGAATGGAAAGAAGAGGGCATTGTTTGGGAGATTCTGAATGGAGATGTTTGAGGATTCCTTACTAAGGAAAATGGTGGCCATGAGAAGGAAGGGGGCTACGGGAAGGCCAGAAGCGGTAGCCCACACCTGACTTACCTGGGAGGCAGCAAAGCGGTTAAATCCCATTTTCTTGCACCGTCTGGTTTCCAATAAGCAGCCTGGAGATGATTCACTGACAAGACCAGATCATGTCCCCCTCCATCGGCACTCGGAATCACAGAACCACAGACACTGGCGGCTCCACAGCACCTACGAGAGGAGGCGGCAAATATCCAGCCCGTTCTGCCCTCTACCACCAAGGATGACATGTGCAGTCACCACCCAGCTCCTCCCGAGGACGGCTGACTAAAGGCAGATTTCCCTGAAACCCCCAACGGCGGGTGAGGGCGGCGAGCAGACACAGTTCCCGGATGCCCGGAGCCACGTCTGCCGTCATAGAGCCTAAAGAAAATCAAAGGAAGGAGGAGGAAGAGGTAGAGGAGGGCAGGGAAGACAAGAGGTCCAAAAGAAGCATGAGAGGTCAAAAGACATCCTTGGGCAAAGCAAGGCAAACAGGAAACCAAGAAGACATGTGGGAGGCTGGTGGGTGACACGGGCCACTCCGTGCCGTCGGCCACACTTTCAGCCTCTAGACTGTCCTCCTCTAAGCCCCCAAATCCATCGAGAACCATGAGGCCCGCCTGGCCCTCATCCCACATCAGACTTTCCGATCTATCAGCGTCTGAAAGAAGGAAAAGGAAAGAAAGCTTGGCATTCCGGAACCAGCCTCAGACAATTAGCCCTTCCTGGAATGAAAGGCCCCTTAGAGATGATGGCTCACACTCTCGAGGTTCTGGTTCCCTGCGAGAAGGACTCCTCTCCCGCAGGGGAGGGCAGACATGTCCGATAAGAATTGCTTAGCACAATGCTATATATAGTCTAGGTTCCTAGCGGCCTAGAGATTTGGAGCTAGAACTTGGCAGAGAACCACGCTAGATGCTGGCAAGGACCGTCCTCCCCCAGCCAGCCAGCTGAGAGCCTCTCCTCCCTGCTGGGGGCAGCGAGGGCAGGCAGGGCCCTTCCCATCGGCCCATTAAGAACACGGCACTGAGGGACATGGGCTTTTGGCTCCGTCTTAGGAAAAATCGACTTCTCCTGAATGTGAGGGCGATGTGCGGGGGCTAAACACTGAGATCTAGCCTCTCCGCAGCTCTCCAGAGGCACTAGAAAATTGATCTCGTCCTGTCTGATGGAGGACCGGGGGCAGGGGTCTACGGGGAAAGGAAGGAGAAGGCCCAGCAGCTGGGTGGGTTCAGTAAACAGCGAGGGCTTCCGACATCAGAAGGAAGAAGACAGCACAGACGAATACTTAACCTGCAGAGCCGGGCTGACAGGCCTCTCCTTTCTTTTGCTCCAAATAAATGCAAACGGGCCATTCCATTCGGCCTCTGATGGCCGTCTTCTGCACACCGCTCCGTCCTCAGCTTAACGTGAGTCTCCAAGAGGCTGTCACCTTCTCACATCGCTCAGCTCGTCGGAGTTCTCTGCGGGGAAGAAGTGAAAAGGAGACAGTAGCCTCGGCTCTCAGGGCCCACCAAACGAGTGATGTTTTGCACGGGCCCCGATCGGGGTCCCGTTTGGGGCTGATATGTGGCCCTGGGACCCTAACCCTCAGCGACTGCTCACCCGTCAATGGCAGAAACGAGACAAGGTTGGGCCCCTTGTCCTGAAGAAAGGCCAGTCCCATTGGGCACTGGGCCTCATCAAGGAGGGCCTACATCTCTTTTGGAAAACAAATCTGAGAGACAACAGAGCTCTCTGAACTACAGAATCTGGGCTCTCATCATATGCACGGCTTCTGGACAAAGACACAAAGGATCTAACAACCACATACATACAATTTTTTTTAGGTCAAGTTGCTCTCTATTCAGACTCAAAAGACATGACACAAAGGGGTTGGGGCTGCCTTTGCACTCTGGGCAGGGACAGCTGGCTCCTGTCCTTTGCCCTGCGAACCTCTCCACAGTGACCTCAGCCAGGTCTCCCTGTTCCCTCTGGCTCCCAAGGCCCCAAAGCCACTCCCTGAAAAGATCCCAAATGAGTCATGCCCGGAGGTCCTTGGGGGAGAGGAGGAGGTGCTCAGTGACAAACGTCAGTGCTAAGCATCATCTAAGGAAAGCATGCGGCTGAAAAATGGCACAAGGGATGCGTAGGCTGGGTGGTCCCAGACCTTGCCATCCCTCAATCCCCACCCACAAGTTGTTGGCTTCTCTGTCCCCAGCCATGGCCTAGGGAGACAGAACAGGAGAGAAGGGAAGCCAGATGCTGAGGGCAATGGCTTGCCTGTGATTCGGTGGCGATGGAGGTCCAGGTCTCTCTGGCTCCCGAGAAGGCACTGCTGGGCATGGTTGGGCACGGTTGGGCGGGGCTGGGCGGGCGGGGCAAGGGGGAACGTCACGCGCATTTGACGTGCGCTTGGCGCAATGCTGCAGATTCGAGAAAAGCCTAGAACTCTGAGCCGCCATGATGACGCACATACACACGCACAAAGGTCAAGGACTCGAGGCCCACTGTTTCTTTCTCCTAAGAATGAACTGAGGAAGATGCAAGGGGAGGGGAGAAGTCTGATTTGGGACAATAAAGAAAGGGGAGACTAAAGCAGACTGCCCAAGAGCTAGTCTTCAGCTCAAGGCTGGTGATGCGGACCCGCCATCTTCATGGGACGCCAGCAGAGGACACTTAAGATGCCACATCTCCATGATGGGCACTTACTCCTGGGGCCTCTGAAGGTCAGGGCTCACTAGGGACTGTGAGGCCCACCATACCTGAGATGGGACTCACCCTCTATCCAGGCCACAGTGAGAAATCCCAAAGGGTTTTCTGGCCCTGAGAAGATGTCTCTTGTTGCGGAAGAGTGAGAGGAGGTTGAAAAGTGGCTCTGTTTGCCAAGCGCATAATAATAACACAAGCAGCTGCATTTTCTGTTCGGTTTCTAAAATTTAAGAGTCCACAGAGCCCCGCTGGGATACGCGGTGTCACCCCCAACCCGATGCCCAGAAGTGGTCTTCTCTGCCAAGCCCTTCCTGAAAATGACCCCAGCCCCGGGGTCGGCTCCAAGCCCTGACAAGCTGTTCTTGCTGCTTTCATGTTGACAGAACGCCCTGGCCACTCGGCTGAGCGCTCCATCTCCCAGCTCCCGACATACTGAGTCATCATCCAAAGAGGAAAAAAACAACAAAGCAGTCGTCACCAGGGTCCCCACTGCCGTCGGCTGACGACTCATGGGCTGTCGTCACTCTCTGTTCTGCAGCCCCAGAATTGGTGACGAGGGGTTCCAAGGTGCCCAGCTCCCCTCCCACGGGATGCAACGGCATCAGGAAGCAGGCAGCCACCGCTGCCATCAGAAAGAAGGGAAACTAACCTGGCATCACGAGGCTCCCCGGTAGGACCACTGGTTAACCCTCACTCTGCCACTGCCCACCCTGTCCTCATGGCTCCGCTCCCCCAGCGCTGCCCCGATGCAGACGTTAAAGGGGTCTTTATGCAGGTGGGAGAAGGCACCCCCTCGTGGGTTTCAGGTGTGGACTGCCTGGCTACCTCCTCCTCTGCCTCTACCTTCCAATACCCCTGAAGGCACTCAAGCTCCCTTCCCCCCATTCCTTCTCCAGCCACCTGCTATGGTCCCTTCTAAAGGCCCCGATAAGACAGCTGGGCAGGGGAAAGGGACGTGCATCACTTTCTCCGGGGATCCTATCTGCTTGGCAATATATTAGGCATTTCTGTGTAGTAGGTTATGGTGGCTCCCTGTCACTGACTGACATCACAAAGCCCTAGAAGAACCACCCAGAAAGACAAGGCAGGGTCAAGATGCAAACCTAGGGCAGTCCAAGTGCAAGGGCTCTGCTTCTTGCCTTGTATGAGGTCCACTGATTCTGGGTCCTGGAGCTCCTTCTGCTCTGAAGGTGCTACAACCATCCCACCTCCACCTCCTCCTCTAGGAAGAAGGGGACCAGGACAACTGAGGGTTGTTAATCCACCAATTGCAGCTACCACAGGAAAAAAAAAAAAAAAAGCCATCATCTTGCATGAACCTGACCACAAGGAAGAGGAGAAAGTTAACGGGGTAACAGGGAGGGTAGCACGGAATGCTAAAAGACCCAGACGCTGGGCTCAGGAAGGTTGGCCACCCAAACCCCCATACGGCATTAGGGATGTACAAAATTCCTTAAATAGACAAGTTCTGGGGATGTACCTCATAAGAGGCATTTTGCAGACACAGAGAACTGATAGGTAAAAAAATGCAAAGACTCTGAGGAGAACAGGAGTTCTAATCGTGAGCAGAACACTTACCAGACATGGGACGCTCCCTCACAGCGCTGCGGAAAATGATACATGAAACAAGTTCTGAGAAATCGCCCGACATGGTACCTGGCAAATGGAAGGCACCAAATAGGTAAGTGCTTTCCTTCTTTGTTCCCCCGCCTCTGGGAGCTCACCATCTAATAGGTGACCGTAGGACTTACACACAAAGAGCCAGACGATAACCAAAGTAGCATCCAAGAAGGATGAAGTGTATGAGAGCTTGGCCGGAGGGAGCCAGGGTGGTTCCGAGGATTGCTTCTCGTGAAGGGGATCCGCAAAGGTCCACAGAGGATGGCGGGCTGCCGCAGGTGGGTGCGGTAGAGCCCAAGAGTCATGGAAAATACCAGTGGTGCAAACAGAGGTCAGAAAAGCAAGAAAAAGTGAGTTGCCTGGTTTTGCTGGAATACGTGGTCTACCTGGGGAAACGCAGAGAAGTCAGACTGAACAGGAGAGCTAAGGCTGGTTACAGACAGCCTTCAGCATCATGCTAAAGAGAAGGAATTTTATTCTGGAAACGATGAGAAACCATTTTAAATTTCTAAGCAAGAAAAGACAAGATGGCCGCTGCACGCAGAAGGGCCTGGAGAGGAGAGGGATGGGCAGCAGGGAGCCTCACTGGAGGACTACAGCTGGAACCATGGCACTGGCAGGGGGCATGACAAGGAGCAGAGAATAAAAACAATAAAAAAGGGAGGGCCATCAAACAAATCTGCCTTGGACCGCCCCCCCTCTCCGTCCCCATAGAGAGACTGCCGGAGACAGAGCCTATTTGGGGAACACAAACCACAGGTCTGACACATCTCAGCAGCCATATCTCTGCCTTCACTCTCCCCCCAAAAACTCAGCTTTTCCTCTGGACTGCTTTAAGCCTAAAATGAGGAGGGCACGGGAGACCTAGGCCTTCTGTGTGCAACACCCACCCTTCGGCCAACCCCAGACCCCCGGTGGAGAAACCCCCACCCAAAGCTGTGACCGAGGGTGGGACTGGGCGGTCCTGCCCCTGAGGCCACCTTCACTGCGGCAGCCACCACTGTGCCCGCCTCTATTGCGTTTTTGCCCCCCCTTCCCCTCCTCCGTCATAGCCCCCGCCCCCCGCCCACTCTGCGGAACTGGCACAGCAGGACCAGAAAAACCAACGCCACCATGTCAGAGACCAGCAGAAATGCCTCCAAAATGGCAGCCTTAGGATAAAAAGGAGTCCAAAAATATTATCAACCCACCCAAGGAAAGGCAAGCCAGTGACAACGGGAATGAACTGTGAACCCCCTCCCAACTGGGCACCCCCACCCTTCCTCACTCTTACAACTGTCACGTCTTTCCCATCAGAAACTTCCTCTAAAAACCCAGAGAGCGTAAGAGGGGAAGAAGGGCATCACCCCATGCCCCCAGGAGGTTCTGGGGTCCATGGGTGACACAGGGCATCCAGAAGGACATTCTACGTTCAACACTCCAAGAAGGGGGAGAGCACCCCATTCTGTCTTCAAACCTGGCTCCTACCACTGGCTGGACAAGAGGGAACCCTCTGAGGGAGCAAAGTCTTCCACTGCTCCCAACCAGACCCTCCCCAGCTCTGTGGGCCCTGGGGAGCCAGAGGCAGGGTTGCAAAGAAGGGCCGAGAAGGCACAGCCGTGCCTCCGTTATGTAATAAGAAGGGCGGTGCTGTCCTAGGCCGGCGACCCAGGGCGCACTGCGTTCCTCGATGCGCAGTCACGGGCGGGGGCCACTGCGCAAGGCGCAGGGCTCAGAAACCCACTCCCCACAAACACGAGACCTCCCACAAGGACCCGACGGGGAGCCAGGACCCTGATTTTTCCAAGTCTCCCTCCCCCAGCCACAGGCGAACAGCCTGCTGCCCTAGTTTTGCTCTCACTCTCCTCACTCCCCAGAATGACAAACCTTTCTAACCTGGGACCTCCAAACCTCTCGAGGTCCAGCTGCTTTCCTGGAAATCCCACCAAATACACAGTTTCTGAGCAACCCCCTGGGGTCGGTTCCCATCCTCACCTTTCCCGGCACCAGGGAGCAGCAGCTTCCAGAAGGCAGGTCCTTCCCACACTAGGCTCAGCTCTGGACAGCCCCGTCGATGCAAATCTCTGGTCCCCGGGGAGTAGCCCAGAGGCAGCAGGAAGCCCATGGTGGTGGCAACTCGGCAGCAGCAGCTCTGTCCTACCTTTGCCCGTGCGCTTCCAGGGGAGCCAAGAATTATTTTGCCGCAACACGGAGGTGTGGCAGACTGAAAATTCCCTTTTCCAACACCAAACTAAAGGACAGATACCTCCTTCCAGTTTGGTCGACTCTCTGCGCACCCATCTCTCCAACCCTTCCTCCTTCAAAAAAAAGTTTGGGGAACCCTGAGCTCCTCTTCCTTAGAGTGCACGAAATAAGAAAGGCAGAGCAAGAGGCTTCAACTGGTCAGTCAGAAGCAGGCACTGACACAGGAGCATACGCACACCCCTAAACAGATTTTAGAAAGCTGCTGGGCTTTCCCCCCCTCCCCTTTAAGCAAGTGAAATGCAAATTCAGATTTGATACCCTGCCCTCAACCAATCAAGAAAAGGTTTTCACCTGCCATTGGCCCGCCCACCAATCAGAAGAAATGTCTGGAGTGAGAGCCCTCCCCTGGCCAATGGAAGGCCAGCTCAGTCACTTAGTTAATGATGCAGCAGTACAAGGAAGGCCATCACATGTGAACTGGAAGGGTGCCAACATGGAGACACAGAGAGCACAAGGTAAACAACTTTCCAACGCCAAAAGGATGACATTTAATCTCTAAATGCTAGCTTCCCTTCTCAGCTCATCCTTAACCCCTCTCAGCTGGCCCTACAGATGCCGGGAGCCTCACTACCTGTCCCCCTGGAGCTCCTAACGAGATGCAACAGTGACTGCGTCACCATTCCCCACTTTTCCCAACTACGCAGTGACAAACCTACCAGCTTTACCCCACTTCTCCCAACCCACGCCCCATCCTGCCCACCTGCTCCCCACCAGCCCCAGGTGCCCAGGGCTGAACATTTCAATAAGGCAACCCCTGGAAAGCTGTGCCTTTCACCTTCCTCCCAGCACCTCTCCTCCCCACTCCCTACCTTCCACCTAAGTATCGCATGGACGGACAGACAGACGCTGACACCCAAACAACCTGGAAAACCAGTCTGTCTGTTCAATAGAAGGAAATGGGGGCAAAGGCTGGGAGGTCAGGTGGGACGCCAGGGACAGCTTGCTCCTCTCTCCTCTACCCTGGTCAGGCTTGAGCAGCTGACACTAAGAGAAAAGAAATTAAAGTGGGGGAAAAAAAAAAAAAAAAGCCCTCTCTTGGAGAAAAAATAGCAAAAAGCGAGAAAGAAGGTGAGAAAGACAGAGCACCCACATACGCAGAGACATCGCCCCCGATCCCAGCAAATACATACGTGGGGGAAGAAGGGGGTTACGCCATCAAGTCCTGAAGCCCGTCGGACCACCCATCGCCGCCTGCGCAGACCCAAATCTCGGTCTGGCCGTAGGGTGCCGCAGTCCCGAATGTTCCAGAAATCGGTCCCGTTAAACCTTCCACCATCGCCCCGCAACCTCTTGCTCCCACCCCTGCCCCCCCCACCACCCACCTCCCCCCCGCGGGAACCGCCCGTGCCACCTTGCGTGTCATCTCCTTAGCCCGGGCTACCCAGAGGCCTCCAGCCCCCGACAGATTTCTGAACGCTTGGCAAGTGAGCTGGCAGAACCTGGTGCCCGGTGTTGCTATGACTTGTTTCTTGATTTCTCTCTCTCTCTCTGCTGCAGCACGGCTGTTGCTAGCAGACCTATCGACGGAGCGCTCTCTCTCTCTCCTCTCTCTCTCTGAGCTCTGTGACGCAGATCTAAATTCTCCAGTCTGCTCCTTGTGTTGCAAGAGCAGAACTGCAGCTTTTCCCCTGGAGAGCCGGAGGGCAGTGCCAAGGCTGGTCAAACAAGGCAAAAAAAAAAAAAAAAGAAAGAAAAGAAAAGAAAAAAAAAAAGTTGGGCCTACACTCCACTTCCCTGGCCACACTTTTCAGCCCATTTTCTTACCCCATACACCTCACTGCTCTGGGGCAGAGAGGGCCTGGTCCCTGCAGGCTCCTGCCTTCCCCGAGGGCTTCCCAGCCACCAGACTAGCTTAACTCTTTGAGTGACAGCGCCTGGAACCCAGACAGGGCTGTCCCACGCTCAATGTTGCCTCATCTTTTCTTGAACCGTGTGAGCTTCTCCCAGACAGGAGACTAACAGGCCCTCACCCTGACACCACCGTCCTATTAACTCTTTCTGCCACGGACACGTCCAGAATGACGACCGTGGCTGACTTGTGCTGTCTGCGTTTTTGTTTTTGTCTTTTTTGCCACACACCAGGACCTTTTTCTCCCTGGGATCTCTTAAGGACCAAAAAAGTGTGATTAAAACCTTGTCTGCTTACCCCACAAATGCTATCTTTTTATTAGGGCAGGAGCTGGAGAAAACTAACTGAACCGCAGCCCGAAGAATCCAGAATAAAACCAGTCTGGATCTTGATTCTTTCCGGGCTCAGGATTTTAGGGCCTCGGTGGAAATGTCCGATCACTTCTCAAAAGGCACTTAGGCCACTCGGTCCCAGAGATTCAGGTTGCTGAGTCATTTGTTCCCAAGAAGATCCTCTGACAACACGAAAAGCAGCAAAACAGAGCAGCGGCCAAGGCGAGACCTGGGGTGGCCGAAGGCTGGGTTCCTCTCCCCGGGGTGGACAGCCCGGTGAGAGGAGCACCGACCAGCTCTCCCAACAGCCCCCGTGATGGTGGCACAAGACCTGCCCACACCTGGAAACTCTCACAGGGATGGGGCTTTCCCACCGGCGCTGTGAAGGCCAGCTGGGGTTGTTTTTGGATACTGACAGGTCCCCGCAGTAGCTAACCACAGAGCTCCCAACATTTTCCTACCCCCAGACCCAGAAATGCTTCCAGATCATCTTAGATGCTAATTCACTAGACCCTGTATACCCAGAAAGATCTGGGGAGTGTCGGGTCCCCACACCACTATGTCCAAACAATGCAGACCCACATGGGTTTCTGACGACCAGTGATGCCACATGAGCCTAGACATGACCAGAAGTGAGCGATACACTCAGGTCCTGGGGTAGCTGACCCAAAACGTATGTCACATCGAGAACCTTGCGACTTCTGGGAAGAGGACTTGAGAACAAGAGATCAGGCCGCCACCTTGTCCTGGACCCCGCTTCCCAAGCAGTCTTCTTCGGGCAACTCCTCAGGGCCAAGGTTTCACCCCACAGAAAGAAGACCACTCGGAAGACGACCGTGG